CACCACCACCACCACCACCACCACCACCACCACCACCACCCCCTCTTAACCAGGAGCTATCAAAAGAGAGGCATCACTGATGTGAGTTAGAGACAATCACAACTATGAGAGGTAATATAAGAAGCAACCGTACCTTCCCCCTAACGTCTTTTTTATAAGCTATGGGAGAATTCTGGGAATACCCTGAGCAGGAAATAGCAGAATCTATTTTACTATTTTTTAGAAGGGTTACCAACAATAAGATAGAATATGTAGCAACTAATTTGCACAATAACTTCATCTGGGGGTGAGGTAGGCCTATTTACATAAAGTGACTGCAATTCAATAAATGTGTTAGCTTTTACATGCCTAATAATCATGGTCACAGAGATTTACTCTGCCATCGAATATGTATCAATGGAGAAGTCTAACAAATGAGGCTTAGTTTGTATAGGAAATAACATGGCCCTTCAAAGAAAATTAGAACACATTTCCCTCAGATTACAAAATTGTCGAAAACAAATTCTTTGAAGGCAAAAAGGGACGTTATAAGGCTTTGAGAAATCAGAAAACATAATATAATAAGTAAAATATAAGTAAATACAAGTTAGAAGAAATCCAAAAAAAGGAGTTACACAATCTAACCTTTTCACCCCAAATCACTTCCTTTTTCTTGCCACTCCAACATTGATGAAAATGCAGAGGAATCGAAATTTACTCTGGAGACACACCAACAGACTCCAAAAGGCCATGGAGGGAATTTCAACTAAAATTGAAAAGCCATACAGAGGTCTGCAAAGAGAAGCACACCACAAATCAAAACAAACCTTTAGGACAAAAACTTAATTAGCATCTACAGGCTTCATAAGCTAATAAACTAAACTGTGTCAGTTTTACCATTGAAAAAAGAAAACTAAGCTACCAGACAATCAAAAAAAATCAACAGGCTCATGTCAACATAAACTCCAAAGACTGACCGAGGAATATCGTTTTTGTCACTGATGGATCTCTTTTTTGGGAAATTTTTTGTTTTTCTAAATCCAAGTTGTTAATTTCATTTGTTCAAAATACACTTTTAAAGGGTCAGGCTTAGTACTGCTAAACAGCTACCATTGCATTAAAACAATACACTAGTCCCTACAGGGAAACTAAACTATCTGTGATAAGGGTTGAAAAACGAAAACAAAAACACCATGTACACCTTTAAGGACACATCTGATTCCCATCTTTATTTAATCTTTTCTATCACAACCCCAAACACTTGGGGTTCTCTGGGAAACGCTTTGGACCCCTGGGGGCAAAAAGCACAAAAACATATCAACTGCCCAAGAATTTCCCAAGAATACATTATCTATAGCTGTGTTGAAGGCACAACATGACAAATCAAAATTAAACGGAACTTTGAAATTGTTAGTCCAAACGTTTAAAAGTGTTTTAAAAAACTTTGTTTCTTCTAAACTGTATTTCCTTAGATCTCTCAATTTAAAGCGCCTTTACTTCTTCTCCCGCTTGTTACTCCTCATTCAGGTTCTGAATAGTACTTAAAGGGGACACTAAATGGGCCACGTGGTTAGTGGTACCCGGAACCGATTAACTCCAATTCAGATTCACACAGTTAACGAACGCTTAGGAGGTGCGTGGCTTGGCTACCCGCACTCCAGTTATATTAAGAGACTTAAACCCTGCATCAACTTCAACAGCTACTGAAAAGCCCTCCCCAAGACTCACATCGACCCAAAATCAGAACACATACAATAGAAACGGACACAGGCAGGGTCATTCAATAAAAGACGGAGGTCTTAAAACTGCTCCCAACGAGCTGCCCGGACCTGCCGTCGGGGCGGCATCCTCGCCAGGATTCGAACACCTAGGAGACGCGCGCGTCGGCTGACCTCCTCCTCAACCCAGGCCCCGGGACCCGGTGAAGACACACACCTCGGGGCGACCCCCGCATGACCACCTGTCAGAGCCAGAGGCAGCTCCCTACTCAGGAGCCTCCAAGTCCCCGCTCGACGGCGCCGCTCCCGTAGGCGCCGCTCCCTCGGGGCTCCGGAGGCCAAAAGCCCGCACCCTCCGCATTCGGGACAGGAACGTCCCGGGTCGCGACCCTGCCGACCCACCGACCACGACCGACGCTCCGCCACGGCTGAGTCCCGGGCGGGGTCGGCCGGCCCCGAGCGAACCCGGCTGTCGCCTCCTCCAGCTCCTTCCCAGCAGTCCTGCTCAGCTGCGTGTCGCCGCCGTGCAAGGCGACAACCTGCTACTTACCACCTGACCACCGCACTGAGTAACCCCCACCTCCTTCAATGCCGCTGCCGTCACCGCCGCTGTCTTCGTCACCATCGCAGCCGCCGCCGCCGCCATGTTTGTTGTGTCTCCAGCTCCCTTCTCGCCCCGCTGCCTTAACCAACTCTCGCGTGAGCAAGCCGTAGGGTGAAAGAGGAGAAGGGTGCTATATGTCTCTCTTGGGGTTCCGTAGTCGGGAGGGGGCGGGGCCAAACGGGAGTGAAAGGCGGGGGGGCGGGACGGGGCCCCGACTCCGCCCTCTCCCAGGCTCTGACTAGCGGCCCGGAGACTCGGCGGAGTGGCCCCGCACCATCCACTGCGCCGCCTGCCTGCAGCCGAGATGGAGGGATCCGCGGTTCGGCTGCTGCGCCGCAGCGAGCTGGTGAGTGAGCTGGAGGCGAGTGTCCTCGGTGTCAGGGACGACCTTGGCCCCTGCGGCGGGGTCTTATCCTAACGGGACCTGGGCGCTCGCCCACGTCCCGGGCCGATGCCTCCCTCCCTTCATCCTCCGGGTCGGTCTCAGAATCTCCAAAGCCAGCCGGCCACGACCCCGACTTCCCTCCAGGATTCGGGCTTCTGTGAGGAAGACGTGGAGTGGCAGCTGGTGAGAAGGGGCGGGGGGCTTATCTAGAAGCTTCTTTGGAGGAGCAAGCACCTTGCGTGGAGTCGGAGAGCCACGGCTGCAAGATGTCCTTTGCAGGCCACTGGGCCCTGGGAGCCCCGGGTCTCGGGTTTTTGGAAGCATTTTGCAGAGATGGCACCTCTCCGATGCCACCCTTCCCCAGTAATTACGTTTCACTACTACCAACCCGATCCGCAAAAAGATTGTTAAAATACAGGCACAGGCTTATTATGAACGGGGTGTGCTTCCTGTCGTCCCTCCTGTGGCCCTGCTCCAAGTTAGGAAGGGAGCTCGGAGTTGGTCGGACATACCCACCAGAAAGAGAACTCCCTCAGCCCCTGTCTTATGGCTGGGTGGGCCCTAGGGCCTTCTGCGAGTGAGCTCGCCGTTGCAAAGGGGGACCCATTCCAGTCCCGCTTCCTGGAACTTGAGCTGAAATCTGCCTCCTAGGAATATTCAACAGTGGAACCTAGTTGTGCTCCCTGGACCGACACAAACTGTTGATTCTAAAACAGCTTTTGTGTTGGGGTTTTCATAACATTAAACATTCCTACTTTCTTCAGCGCTTCTCCCTATGGCGTGCTTCCCAGGATCCTCAGGCATTTGGATACTCTGTCAGTGTACCTCATCCTTCAACGTTCCCACTGCTGGCTTTTTTTCTTTTTATATTCCTTTGTGTTTGCGTTAACTAGTTAAAGGTTCCTCAATTGCTGCTCTAGTCTTATGCCCAGAGGCAGGAATCTTTCCTTCATTAGAGATAATTAGCTGACTGTTTTACAGGCCTAAGGTAAGAAAAGTAGTAAAGTTTTGATAGTGCATTGTCACAAACATGTTTTTATAATTACTGTAAAACCATAATTGTGGTTTAATAGTGTCGCAAAGGAAATTCCCTGGGTTTCACAGTGACTTGTTTTAGAGCCAACATTTACTGACCATGTTCTATGAGACAGGCATGTTCTTGGCGCTATACCTGCCTCATGTCATTTAATTCTCACAACCATCCTGAAAAGTAGTTTAATCTTGGTTGTCAAGGCTGACACCAATTAGTGACTTAATAGCTAGAAAATGGTAGAGCTGGTATTCAAACTGTGGTCTTATTCTAAACTTAGCCTTCATGCACTACTGCTTCCCCTTGCGTAGGGGATATCCGAGACCTATTTTGTTTGAATTTGTTGATTTACCATGGCTTCTCATTCTTTATAGTTTTTAAAGCTTTTTTACATAAGTTAGCTAATGTAATTGAGGAGATGTAGCATAGTAGTTAAGACGTGGGTTCTACAACCTGCTTGCTTGAACCCAGGCTCTGTCACTTCCTAGTAGTGTAGTCTCAGGCAGATTACTTAACCTCATTGGGTCTTAGTTTCCTGATCTGTAAAATGGGGAGAATGATAGTACCTATGCCATGGGAAGATGTGAGGCACTGAAAATAGTGCCCAGTGTAGAGTAAGCTTCCATTAAATGTTATCTCTTATTATTACCATGCATGAGGCATTGGGTGCAATGGCAGATACAAAAAGAACCTAAACGCCTGCCTTTAAGAAGTTTGTCTTTTAGTGGAGAAGTTAGAACTATATCCAGCCAACCTCATATCATTTAGATGTGGTACAAATCCTAAAGGGTCCACAGTGTGCCTGTGGATTCAGAGGAAGAAATGATGAATAGTATCATTAGGGGAAAGACAGGCTTTTTGGAAGCTGGGTCTAGATTTTAGCAGGGAAAAGAAGTCAGGAGAACACTGCAACCAGAGGGGCCTGGGACTTAAGGGATTCTGGAACTTACCCTTTGGGTTGTGGAAGGGTTTGAGCCTTGGAGATACATAATCAGAGCAATGATTTAATTAGATTGCTGTCATAGCAAGTGGCATGGAAGGTAGACTTGTAAAGTGTACCTAATTTTGGTCCCTATTCAAAGATAAAGAGCCAGAATTTAGGGAGATTTTACTCTAGCCCAGTGACGGCATTTTATATCCACTACCCTATATAATGGTCCCGTGAACTCTGTTTCACAGGCGAGGAACTAGAGGCAGTATGCAGTGTCCTCATGTCTCACAACAGGCATGTTGCAGTGCAGCACTCAGCCCATGCCTGTCCACCCTGAAGATGTCTTCTGTTCTTATAGATGAATTAGAACTAACCTGTACATTTTGTTGAAATTCTGAGGCGCTGTTTGCCAAAGGTTTTTACAAGAAAAATGGCAAGTGGCTTGCAAAAGGAACCCAAAATCTCAGATGCCACTTGGACCATTTCAGAGGTTCACTTATGGTATAACAAGGCCCTCAGCTAGGATGATGGCACAGATGGTTAGGAAAGAAGACATAGTAATTAAGGGAGACTTGAGACGATTTGTTAATAACCTTGAAATGGAGGAATTAGAACTCCACATTTTCTAAATGGAGTGGGCAAAATTGGGTGATCGGAAGAAAAAGTTGTTTAGGGGGAACAGAAGGAAAATGATGCATTCATTTAGAACTTGAGACTTTAAAAGTGTCAGCCTTATCACCGGAAGTGTTTTAGAAACTAAGTGGGAAATGGCTGTGGAAACTAGCAGAAAAATGAGAGCTAGAGATTGAGCCTTTGGAGTACAATACAGACCATGGGGCAGATGCTGAAGATCAAGGCAAAGCAAAAGGACACTTTGGAACGGACATACGTGTGGCCCTCTTATGTAACCAGGCAGGTGACACATGCCGGCCACATTCTCCTACTGCCCTAGGTTGTGGGCTAGGTGGAGCAGAGTCCTGCCAAGGGAGCAAGTTGCCCTTACAACAAAGCATAAAGGAAAGAAGGAGAAGGTGGTATAAGGATTTGCTTATTAATTATGTTTTATCATTCTTGTTCATATTCTTTAGTGCAGTAGTTTAACCAGCATTTATTTCTGTATATCTCAGTAACTCAAGGATTTCCGTTTTCATCTAGATAAACCTTTTAGCAAATCCTGACTAAATCCAGGATACACATTTTAAAACCTGATTAACTATTGCTTAACTCATTTTAGATTTAAAGCTGATAGATTTAAAGCTGATCTTTATCTGCTTTCATATCCATGGGCCAAAACTTCTATGCCAGAATCTCTTGTGCTTGCTTTCTCCATAGACTGTAGCTTCTGTTTGGGTGTTCTCCAAAGCTAATAAACTTGTAGTCTTGTCCTTTCACTAGTCTCAGCCTCCTCATTCCAGTATCTAGTAGTTCCTTAACAATGCCACCACTTTCTAAAATAACGCACTTCCTCAGGAGAGGCCCAAAACCAAGACAGGGCACAGTGCCAGGGCGTCAGCAATAAAGGAAACTTACTTGTCTTCTCTCTAATTTTGGCCAAGTCTGCAAGTTCTCTTTCCCAAACTACCAATATAGAAAAATGAAACCAGACACTATCTCCTCTTATTTCCAAAGAAAGCATGAAAGACGGAATTATTAACAAACTTAGAAAAAATGTTTTAATTGTGCAGTTAACTTGGGTCCAACACTTTATACCGGGTCCTGGGAGTTTCTTTGACTCACTTTCCTTTTCAGGGAAACTAGGTTGCTAGCAGAAAGAACAGTTAAAAGTATAGTCAGAAGGCCTGAGTTCTAGAGTAGCACTCACACCTTCAAATGCCCGCAGGCGCCAGATGGATAGCAGATCAAGAGAAGAAAGCATGTAAACCTAAAGGGTCCTCCCCTGTTACCAGGATAAATTCACAGGCTGCGTCAGTTTGCATTCCACCATCTCCACAAACTGGCCCTGGGTTACTCCCTTGCTGTGCCTTGCACTTCTCAGATCATACAAGCTCTGCTTTTGATGGATTGTTTTCCTTATATGGCACAAATTCTGATTGTACTTTTGCTCTTAGAACTAAGAGTAAAGTTTCTAAGTTTCTTTTTCCTTCTTTTACTCCAATTCTAAATAGAGCATATTTGTCGAATTCTCCTCAATCAGCCCCAGGGTAACAGGCACCCTTATGCATTTGCTAGTGGGAGTGAGAATGGTTTAACCGCTTTGGGGAAACCTACCAGAATTTTTAATTCATTGTTTGCCTTTTGACATAGAATTCCAGCTTCCAGTTTATGCTACAGGCTGATAGTGACATAATGAATGTCAAAGATTATTCATTGCAGCAGGATTTTCTTAATAGAAACTTTTTTTTTTATTTGGAATCCAGCAGATTTTATTTTATAGTTCATTGATTTAATTTTCAAAATGTATTCACTTTCTTTTTTTTTCCTTTTTTTTTTTTTTAGAGG